TTATTGAGAAGTAAGGAACAAGCCGAGCCCTATTTTGTACAAGGGGAACCCTTTTGGTACCAAAGGGTTGAGGTAACAGGGGAAATTTACATTTTCTATTACTTTGTTTTAGCTATTTTTGAATAAATATTACTAGTTATCATGCATTACATGTTTTAAAAGATTAAATGTGCTTTATAAGGGGTTATGGGGTACTACTTTGATTTTAGTACAAATATGTTTTCTAATTGTTTAATAACAATGTTTTTATGAAAATGAGATTTATAAATATTATACTACTTTAGAGTGTTGAATGGTCAATACTCAAGAAAGGTAGACAAGAGTAAAAGGCATGATCTCGATGGGAGTTCACCAATGAGAAGGTGTGGATTTTTGATATTCTATGGCACACTGTCAGTACTCAGTGTTGTCTTACGTATTGTGGGCTCAGTGCACTAAAGTGGTTAGTGTATTGAGTGTTCGACACCTCTCAGTGGGGGAGGGAATCCAACATATGAAGTGTGAGGTTGAGTGCCTAGGCCAAGGTAGCCCTCACATGGAAAGTAAGTTGGGCTGGCTCTGGGAGGGAGTTAGCTTCAACTGCTTAGGATTCACGTCGAAGGGGCATAGGAGGTTCGGTGGATTAGATCATGCCTTAGATTATGTTTTGTGCCTGTGGAGGTACAAGTAGGTATAAGGTTTACCTGCGAGTTAAAGAGTGCCAGGGGGCATTCTGTTGGTCATGAAAGGCCATACCAGCCTAGATCATGCATTCATGCATTTTAAATGGCTAAATTATATATTATGTTAAATTTATTATTCGTTTATTTGATTATGGCTTCCTTTGTAATAATCAATGTAGATTTCGCTGTTACTGAGACTGTGGTTGTCTCACCCCTTTCTTTTCAATATTCTAAGTCCAGGCGAAGGATCCAGTGGTGGACGGGGAAAGGAGCAAAGCTAGGGGTTTGCTTGTGATTTGTAAAGAACTGCAACCCCTTTCTTTTGAGTAAATATATTGTAATGTATTTAAGATTAGGGTGCCAGTAGGATATGATTATGTATGTGTGTGTGAATATGTGTGGATTGTGTGCTTGTGTATGAATTTTTGTCTGTTTGCAACTTGTGGCTAGGAAACTTGGTTATGGTGTGTGGTTTTGATGGATTTACTTAGTAGACCAAGTTTCTATTACAAGAAGATCTTTATTTTGATATATATGTGATTTTATAAGCAAATGCAAAGTGGTTGCATTGCAAATTGTGTGCTATGAGCAAACATACAGCTTGGATAGAGAGAGTGGGTGCGTGGGCCTCACAAGGAGCTTGAGCCAAGTGAAAATGTTTAGCATATGTATTTATATAAATACATGGTATTTGGATTGATTTGTGACCACTCTTGTATGATTTGTGCATTTTGGGGGTTTAGGGTCCATTTTGGGAAATGGCACCCAGGTGGTCAAATTTTGATGTATGGGGGTTTTCCATCATTTGAATGTTCTTTTAGGTGTTTTTAGTCTTATTTGACGTGTCCAAAGTGTTCCCACAGGTTTGTGACCATTAGGATGAGATTTGGACAATTTTAAAAATGGTTTTTTACCAAAAAGCTGCACTTTTGCATCCGAGTGTCCAAATCTTAATCCGACCGTTGGATTTCTCTAAAATTTGGGTCACAAGTAAAACATTTTATAAGCTTTGTATGGGATTTGGAATCACGTCAATCGGATTTCGGACAGAGAAATGACGCACTCCGAAATTTAGTCTGGAGGTGCTGTCGTGACAGCATTTTAATGCTGTCATGACAGCTACAGTAGTTATATTGTAACCTGCACAAAATTCAATCCGTCCGTTGGATCTTTTCAAAATTTGGTATGCTAATAGTATTCTTAAAAAGTGACATGTGGGATTTGAAATCACTCCGATCAGAGGTCGGATGATGAAATGGTGCACTCCGAAAGTTGGTCCGGAAGTGCTGTCATGACAGCTTTTCATGCTGTCATGACAGCAAAATTGACTAAATGTCACTAATCTGACCGTTGAGATCGAAGGCTTATAGGAACTTGTGAGCTCCCGAAGAGATCGGAAGGCGGAACGGTGCCTCCCAGAAGTTGAAGGGCTGTCTCATGACAGCATATTTTTACCCTTCTTTTGTCTAACTTGCTTCCGTGCGCTATAGGTAGAACCTAAAAAAAATTTTTTTAAAGGCTTTAAATGTTTAATTTTCATTGTATATTTGCTTAGTGATTTAAATAGTTTGTTTCCTAAGTTAGTTTTAGGATTAACTCCTTAACCACACTTAGTTTATTTGACTTGTGTGATTTTTGGATAACACTCGGGGCAAGTGTTACAATTTTTATCATCTTATATCCAGAATTTTATAGTAGTGACCACAATTTCGATTCAAGAGGAGTCAAAAGTTTAAAATGAAACAGTCAACTCTACACAATATCTAAATGCCCAAATTCCTTAATTCACTTCCTTGCCAACATCCAAGAGAAGAAAAATGCTTGGCTTAGCATGAAGCCTTTTTTGAAGAAATGCTTGGCCTAGTTAGAGGACAAAAGGAGATAATATTTGTTTTGTCCTATTTATAGGGTATATTATATTTTTGTCCGTATTAAATGCTGAAATATTTTAGTTTTAAAGTATACATATTTAATAGTAATAAAATTGAAAAATTAGCTTTTGAATTTGTAGACAAAGCTAATGAAATTTAAAATTTTTTTTATTCTAATGAAATGCACTATCAGTAACTTATAAATAAAACTAGAATAAATACTTAATATATAGAACTTTAAAAAGGTTTAAGAAATTAGTCTTGGAAGACCTTATTAAATAGAAAAAATTACACCTAGGTCTTACAGAAGAGATTTAATTATTAAGAGATTTTATGAAATTTATAAAATACTCTCAAGGATTAAATTCTGCAGATTTACAATTAAACAACAGGCATTATTAACTTGCAAAAGGTATTTGTAAGTTGTAAAAGCCCATACTCAATTGTAAATGCTATTTATCAAGTTATAAATACAAAAAATTTATGATTTGTAAATGTTTTATAAATTTTGTCTTTCATTCCTATGAATTTTATAATTAAATATGCGTCTAGTTCAAAAGAATGAAAGATAAAATCAAACCCAATAAATGCTCGCCAGTGGCGCGGCGCCATTCCAGATGGAAGGATAAAAACCAGAGAAATAAAGCAATAACTGTTATTGGGCCTATATTAGGCCTAGATTCCGTATAATTAGGCTTAAATCCTCTAGCACAATAAACAAATATTGTCCCAATTAGTAAATCAGGTGCTAGAAGACCAATTTTTTAAAGTAAGACAAAAACCCAAAAAGAATCTATATAAATAAATTTGGTATGTTTGGTGAATAGTAAATGAACAGTGAATTTCCAACAATGCCCCAAGTTTTTTCTTTTTCTAATCTCCTGTTATTGCAGCACTGTACGTGCACGGTACCAACCAACTTTTCATTCTCTTTATTTTTTTATGAATCTAACGTTTTCTTTTTAAAAAAAAAAAACAAAATTTGGTGCCATCGCATGCACAGTACCATCCGACTTTTCATTTTTTATTTTATTTTTTATGAATCTAACATTTTCTTTCTTTCTTTTTTGTTAAATTTTTTTATATGGATACGATATATACGAAATTTGAGATACTTAAAAATAAAAAAAATATTTTATCAATTTTTATCTTAATTAATAATACCTCTCTTCTATTTTTTAAATCTATATGAATATTTTAGTATGGATAGTTATAAAATATAAGCCCTTTTTTTATTTTTAAGATTTTATTTTTATCCGCCTAACCATTAGTTGACCACTAAGTCACATATGTTGGACTAAAATATCCTTATTTAAATATAAACAGTATATACGAAATTTATATTTGAAAATGAGAAAAATGTTTTATCTATTTATATCTTAATTAACAATACATATCTTTTATTTTTTTGAAACCTATATCAATATTTTTTAGTATGGATAGTTATAAAATATAAGCCCTTTTTTTTTACTTTTAAAATTTTATTTTCATCCACCTAACCATTAGTTGACCATTAAGTCATATATGTTGGACTAAATACCCCTATTTAAATATAAATATTTTCCAAAAATCATTTAAATTACCTAAAATTAATTTTTTATTATTTAAATGTATATTTTGTAAATTTTTAAAAAAATAAAATATATAAATTGGCCAAAAAAGATATTCAAAGACGTAGTGTATGGACTCAATAAAAAAAGATAAAATAAAATAATTTTTAATAATTTGAGATAGTTAAATTAGTTTAAATAAACTCGAAAGCTAAAAGTGTTAAAAGTCATACTTGACTATAAATTTTTTATATATTCAAATACTTTAAACTCAGTATGAATTGAGGCTCTAAGGTTGATAGAGAGAATGTAATATTTTAATAAAATTAATTTTAAAAATTAAAGAAGTATAGTTTAAAAATGTGATGTGTAAGACCTACCATTAAAAATATAAGTGGGGTCTACACTTATAAATTTTAAAAATTTAAATAAGGTATAAAAATAATAAGATTTTTATATTTTGAGAGATCATGTGAGATTTGTACTAAAAATTGATAGTGAATATAAGATTTTTAGTAAGATAATATTTTCTCCGTCCTAAATTATAAGATATTTTTATACAAAATCTCACATGTCAATAAATTTTATTAAATACACTTAATAATTTTATCTTTTTAAAATAAAAATATGAACTTTTAAAAATATTCATCATTAATATATTAAAAAGATAAGAGAAAAAAATCTATAATTCTTATCAATTTGGGAAGTTGGCATGAGCAGTGTTTTCACATGTGACGCTTGTCGGTGGGCTTCCAATTCCCGGGTGTTACTTGGCGGGCTTTTGAAATTTTCTCACTCCCTTTTGTTTTCATTTATTTAATTATTTAATTTACTTTATTGCCTTTCTTTTTTTGTTATAGGCTTTTAAAAATTGTCTTTGCTGGTGTCATTGAGTTATTTTTGAAACTTAAGACAAAAGCAGAAGCTACAGACACGAGAAAAGGTTGAAGTAAGAAGAACATTAACAAGACTACTAAAATCACCAGCCATACATTCAGCATCATCCTTGGTTGCTACTATATCTCAAGATTATTCTCTTATGGTGTTAGTGAATATAAAACTAGCTCAAGGCTTCTACTTCTTCAATGCCACCAAGATGGGGCTTCCCACTGTCAATCGTACGCTCCCATCTTTGGCTACCACCATGGCTTTTTCTTCTACGGCCACCACCGCCGACATCAGTACGGCTTCCTATAGGGAGGATCTAAGCAAGAAGATTCGAAAACCATATACAGTTACCGAGTCCAGGGAGAGCTAGACGGAGCAGGAGCATAACAAATTTCTCAAAGCTCTCAAATTGTTGGTTTATCTTTATCTCCAATTAAGGTTACTGTGGAATTACTATTGCTCTTATCGATCACCATTTTTCGTAACTGATGCATTTCAAATTTTGGCTAATGCAAGATTAGAATTGATCATTTCTTCCCCTATCCCATTCCTTCCCCCAGTTGTTTACTCTACAAGTAGACTCGATTGGTTGATAATTTTAACCAGTAAAATAGCTAATTGCACCCTTAATCTTTTAGGTTATTGCAGTAGTTTGTTCTACAATCTCCGAAAGGGTGAACTCAAGTACTTTTTTGGCTTACATGTATGTGCTTTCTTAATATGTGAGATTTGGGTTCTGGCTAATGCCAGGCTAGGATTGCCAAATTTCTCTAATTTCATTATATTTATGAGTTTCTCTATAATTAAATGAAATTTATAGCTCTTGATTGGGAATTTTTTTTACTAGTGAAGTAATGAGTAAGCAAGTAGGGGACTTATTAGTAAACATTTTGGGTTGTGTTGTACTTTCATATTTTAGTAAGCTCTTGCTAATAAACATGATGCATTTGTTGACTTTTGATTACACCATTGAAATTTTTTTAACAAATATTAGAACTGGTCCTGATATATATAATAGAAATAACGCCGAAGAACCTTTAAGGAGGACTTGCAACAACAAATCATGTATAAGATAAGAATTGATTGTTATGTTTCTGCTATCCCTTTTAGGGAAGAGGCATGCTTGCTGACTGTTTGTTTTCCATTTCTGTTTATGCACATTCATCATATTTCAGGTGTGCCTCAGGGCTATAAATCATGTTTAAAGTCAGCAACTTTAATTACGTGAACCCTCTTCACTCTTCGTGTATCATTAACAAGGATAAAATCCTGCTAAAAATAATAATTAAATATCTCATTCTGTTCACATATAAAGGATCAAGGTGAGCATCTTACAATTGCTAGTGTTGGCTAAACTATTCCTTCTATATACTCTTTACCGAAGGATAATTCTAACATTCCTTTAAAAGATATAGGACATGGAATATGCTCATTTGGTTTAATTTGAATTCATGTTTCTGCTACGTTTGACATCCACCAATGTCATGATAGATTACTATCATTTTGGTTAAACTATATATAATTACCATTTGGAAACCTATACTGGGATAAGGTTGTCTTCTATGTTTTGTGTTGCCTCTGTTGCTAATTGCCTTCTTTTATTAAGTATTATACAAACTTTGGTGCAAGAGTGATGCTTGCATCTTGCATAGTCTAGGAGAATGATGATCTCATTATATTTATTTTGATTAACATTTTTTGCTGCTCTGCTGTTGTGAATCATTTTTCCTCCTCTTATTACTACTTTGATTAATCTCAAGGGATGAATCACCTTCCTTAATAACGAATTTGGTGCATTTGGTTTCATATGTTGTGATAATATTACTTTGTCTTTTAGTCTTTATTTAGATACACCCATAGATTGGTTGTATCTCTGGATTAGCCTTGGGTTTATTATAATTCTCCTTGGTGGAACATCATCAAAAAGTAATCTGCCAAGAGAAAAATATGACAAAAGGCCAGAAGAATGGACATTGTGTTTATAGTATTTAAGTTTATGCTTATGTTTATCTCTTATTTCTATATGCCTTCTTATCTCATATGGTCCTTTTGTTTGATTACCTTGGTTTGTAAGCGATGGCAAAGTCAAATAAATAAATTTTTGCTATCCAATGTGATAATCCAAGAGCATGGATCAGACAAGCAGCTATATTTTGACATCCTTACTGTCCAATGTGATTGTGCTTCAGTTTTAGGATACATGAGTTCTTGAGCAATATATGTAGAGATAGAGATACTTGCAGTTGCACAAGGATTTTCTGTCACTAGCAACTTTCTCTAACACCATTTCTTATCTTATTCTTTATATTTGTACTGCATGGCATCAAGGGCAATGGTGAATATGGTGGCGCAGCAATATGGTGTATTGGCTTTCAAAAAATCTAGGGTCAAGGGACAACAATATTAGGAGGTAAAATGCCACTATGGAACTTAGTGCAAAAGACGCGCACACAGGCGTATGCTGTTTTGGTTTATGAGAACACAAAAATGAAGTACAGCTCAAAATCTGATGCTAAAACTATAATTGATAGTTTGAAATTGCTAGTTGATTTATTTTATGGCACATGGTTTAGCATCAAGTTAACCATGACCCCTCCCCTTCTTTCTATTTATTTATCCACTTCAAGTTCTTATTGCCAAGTATGCACTCTAGTATATTATATATTAATAGGCTTAACTTGTGAGGAGTTCGAACCAACTTGTGCGTGAATAATTGTTCATCATATGAAATACATCCCAATATCTTCTCCTTCAAGATTAGATTCTGACAACATTTTAATTTTTATTTTGTAGATCTTGTGTTAAATTGTTAGATTTTGATATGTAAATGTGGCGGGGAAACATGGAAGTCAATTAGTGAATAGCAGAAGATTGCATTTTCATCACTAAGTTAAACAAAGTTGGGCAATCATAACTTTTCAAGGTAAAATAAATAAATTTTGGCAGACTAAACCTAGATAAAAGGCAAATGGGCTGTAATTTTGGAGAAGCTAACTTTACTTCAAATCTTTAATGCTCTAACTATATATCACTAGTGTCGCCATGCTTCTCCACTTATCATCTATGTCAATGAGAGTTGACACTTCACAAAAGTGCCCTTTCCAAATTTAAATATTACTCAATGCCCTTTAGAGATATGGTGTTAAATACTTACCAATATTTGATATTGTCATTAATCATTCATTCCAATTTCTTATTGTATATGTAATGCGAGACTTCTATTTCTTATCAACTAAAATGGCCTCCGTGGATGATATATTTTATTCTTAAAGAAAGGGCATTTTTTGTTCGATATTTGTCTTCCATGTTCTATAGATTTATATTCTTTTTGCCTATGCAATTATATATTATAAGGATTTAAACTGAACTCTTATTACTCTACTATAAGTTTCACCTTACTTTGGTTACACTATAACATTGTTTCTCTAGATTATGTAAGTGCAATTAGGATGTTAATTATATACTTTGATTATATTGATATGAGCATGTTTTCAAAGTGTTCAAGAACATTCTTTTCCAATTTTATCCCACGGCTTCTTTCATGTTATTAAATTAAGAATGATTCTTTTCTATGTGTTTTTATATTGTGCTCTAATCTCATATAAAATAAGTTCATTTGTTTATCTTATTCAATGTTCTATCATTAATTTCAACTCCATCCCTTCCTATTCCTTTTTTTTTAATGTAGCGTTTCATTTCTACCTATTCATCACACTAAAAATGTTAATTATATAAGTCATGAATATTATGCTTGGAATTTATAAATTTTTAAAATTCTAGGATGATATGAAATTACTTTAAATTTTTATGGTCTTAATATATTGGGATGGTATAAGATTACTTATATGTATGATAAATCAACTAAGTCAAACATAAAATTCAGTGTTAAAGATTTGAGAGCTTTCAACTTAAAGGACAAAATAAATTGTGAATATAAAAGTGGATAAAATATTCAAGTAATCACTTAAAGATTTCACGCCCGCCCGCACGCACACACGCACGGACGGACGGACGGAAGTTGATTTATGATAAAAATTGATAAAAATTGGAATCATTATCAATCATATCATCCTATATGAACTCTCATAGGAGAAAGATTCAATGTGAGTACATGTGGTTTAGTCCTAGGGTTTAGATAAAACTAAATAACACAAGTGTTAGTCAAGCTTTATTAACGCGAAATGAGTTCCTTAATTGATTTAGTTTTAAGTGTGATGGCTGATGGCATTAAATAGCATGAGCCAAATTGGTTTTTGGTACTTCATCCTCAATACTATCTTTTAAACTTGGAATGATCGAAGAGTTAAATTTCCTATATTTTCTTGCAAAACCTTTGACTACGATGCCTTAGGCCATTCTAGCTTTTATGTCCCATCTTGGGCATGTGCAATAAATTATAAAAATTATTCTCCTCATCTTTAAGAAACCTGAGCGGGCCAAGCATGATAGTTTTGACATTTTAAATATATCATATGACATTTACTCTTGGGCTGATAAATTATGCCATTATCTTCCTATCATTAGACTTGTGATTTATGACTATAAAAGTTCTCAAACAGTGATGCTGATAAGATTGTATAGCTCTTTTTATTTTTGAGTCCTTTTCCTATCGTTATATTGTACATTAGTTGAGAATCTCTTATTAAGTGGAAGGTCTTACCTTTTAGAATCATGTTCTTGATTGATTTGCATGTTTGATAAAATATTAACAGGTGATTTTGGGTTCCATTCTCTCAGAGTCATGAGATAAGTAATGGAGGAAAACTAGATATTGATGAGGCTTCATCAGATTTCTAAAGAGGCAGCTTTGCATCATCTGGTTTTTCAAGAAATTATAATATTATGCCTTCAAGAAGTATAGATCCATGAGCCCAACTAGCACTTTGACATCCTTATGTGAAGATGTTGACATTGTTGAGTGTTTTCTTATGTTGAATTTAAGATTCTAGCCAATAAACTAATTATTAAGTTTTCACAATTTAACTTATACTGTTGTTGCAATGCCTCTCATCTTTGTTTACTTCAAGTTAATTGGTCAACTCACATTTAACTTGGGAACTGGCCAAGATACATTAATGCTTGAAATGGTTTCTACTTTCTACTTTTGAAAAAGCCTTTGACAAGTTATTTAAGGATCTTCATTACAACATGTAGATATGCCAACTATGCTATCAATGCTAAAATTCTATTATCTTTGGCCCTTTGTCCTATACAAAATTTCAATGATGTCTTTATGGAAAATGATGTCACGTTTCAATTAAAATAACTCTCAAGTGAAAATTACAATTTTAATGCAGGACTATGTTGATTTTTAATGCAACTTGTGGTGGTTGCTATATATATATATATATATATTGAATGTGAATTACTTAGATCATTTCTTTATTGTCTTACCAATGGTTGTTATAGCTTGAGCACATAGTTTTAAGTGACTATAAGGGTTCATATTGATATATTTGAGATAGCTTATAACTATATACCAGGTTTCAAGAATGGCTAAGGTTTGACATAAGGTTTTAAGACTAGTTCTTAGTGGAAATCTCTTTAATCTTTTTTGGAAATTTTTTTTCCTTGTAGATTTGTAGCGTTCAGTTAATGTTTCATGCAAAATTTTTCATGCAAATTAGCTCCATAAAATTATCTAGGACTAGATAATATCAATGATATCTTGCCCATGCATCGCACAAGGAGAAATCTAGTTAATTATAAAAATAAAAAGGATAATATTGGAATTAATGTATTTAATAAAATTTTAATCTATTCAAAATGTCTTATATTTTGGAATAAAAAAATTCTTTTAAAAATGTTCTATAATTTGGAATGGAAGGAGTAGATGTTAGATATACAAAGAATTTTTTATATACTCTTTTTATTTAAAAATGTAAGGCATTTCTATTAAATAAATTATTTTATATTTATTTTAGGGTGAAACACCCTATTAAATAAGAATAAATACAAAAAAAATGAAATTTGTTTGATTAGTGGTGAAATTCAGTTAAAAATATTTTATATTTTTAAATGAAGGGAATATCTATATCTACATAAAAATAATTTTTTTATATTTATATTTATTTTTATTCTCAAACACTAAACTAGAATATGAGCTTTGTAGCCAAACAATAATAAAATTTTTATAATGAGCTTTTGATACCTTAACTGAGGTTTGGGCCGTCCAAACCTCAGTTAGGAGTTTATCCAAACATATATTGAGTAACTAAAAAAAATGCATAGCGTAATGCCGCAGATTAAATTTAAATAAAGGAAACTTCAAGTTAATATTGGGCATGGTTTGAGAAATGGAATTAAACTCTATAAAATCTAATTTCTCATTTCCTCAATAGCAGTGTACTTTCAAGAACTTGAGTTTGTCTCTACCAAAATTTTAACATTTCATTCAACCTCTAGTGTTAACACGTCAACGAAGGCTCATGAAAAAGTTGATTTAATTTTGTTTTCTTAACTCTGGCTAATTCTAACAGCTTTGTACTGTAATGTTTCTTTTACTCGATCTCTGACGGATATAATGAAGGTTATAACTTCTTTAAATCTATAAATATCAACTTGTTGATGATGGTTGGTAAAATTATTAAGTACTGAACTATTTTGAAATAATATTTGCATGTTAAAAAGCTTTCTTATACTCTTTTTTAGTGCTTCCTTGTTTTCATATGCTCTTTAAGAGATATTTAAGCATTCAGCACTTTCCTACACATTTGTGAAAAATATTCAAGGAGAGAGGTGTCCTTGAGTGAGATTTCTAGGAATACAATCCATGAGGAATTGTGGAATAGAGTTCGAAACTAGACAAGTATTGGGATTGTTATGATTGCAAGTATCCCATTTAAACTTGCAAGATCTAGTCATTACAACATCTCAAGTAATTTACTTGGGGATTGGACATATAATCTAATAGTAGGAGGTGATAAGGCTAACATGACATACTGAAGTAATTAATAAATACAATTACTGAAGGTTAAATAAACATTTTTGCCCTTTAACTATTCATTCAAAAGTATCTAGTATCCTTAACTTACATATAGTATAATTTATTCCTTTGAAAATTGTGTATTGAGCATTCTATCATTAAAAAAATTAATTATAATCATTAGTTGACTTAAAAATTTTAGAATATGACCTTGAAATTACAGAAATGACCCAAAAAATTTCAAATAACTACCTTATTAAAAAATTAATACTAATTAAATCTCCTAAATCACATATAAATACCAAGATACAAATATTATTTCTCACCAATGAAAAAGATCAAAATACAATAATGTTGACCAACCAATTTAACTAGCTATTGGGTAATTAATGGATCACAATTGCTGACAATAACACTAATAAATAATTTAAAATGTTATATTTATTTTACAAATCTTCTCACAAAATTTTGAGATATCTTTAAAGGATAAACCAAAAGACTTTGGTACAATAATTAAAGTAAAAAGGTGAAGGAGCGTGAAAAACAAATTAAAAAGATTCTAGAATGAGAGTAATATGAACAATGTAGACAAAAACCAAGAGTAAAGTGTAAAAAAAAGTTATTTTTTAATCAAAAAGTGTAAAAAAAAAATAGAAGAGAGGATTAATGAAATGTTCATTAAAGTAAGAAAAAGAAAAAAAGGCTTATAAAGATTCATCCCGTGAACACCCTCACTAAATTATAAAATATAATAGATGAATTAAGATTTATATATCCTCCCTTCATTTAAAAATGTAAGGTATTTTTAACCTAATCTCACCCCAATAAAGTAGTTACCTACATGTTTAAAATATTATTTTAGCAACCAATGACAGTTGGTTTAATAGAAAAGACCAACCTCTTATAATATGATAAATTAATGTTTAAATTTTTGTTAAGAGAAATGTTTGCATTTGAGGTTCGATTCTGTCTCAAGCAACCGAATTGCTTTTAATAGAAAAATCTCTCTGTGTAATACAAAAATTATTTTAGTTAGTTTATGTATTTAATTTTTTAAAAAATTATTAAATATTTTTAGAGGTACAATGCACCCTTGTCACGGTAAATTATTAGTGACCCTGAATGTATAACGTCACTTGCGCCTCTTCCAACAAATAAGCCGCATTGCTTGTCCATCTTTATAGCCCTAGTAAATTTCATGGTCTTCATCTGCATTACTGCCACGGAACTTAACGTCTCTTTTATCCAGTGAGTGTCTCACATTGCTTGTATGATAATAATCATTCAATTTAGGGCCGTCTACTTAAGGTTAAAAAATAAATAATTAAATAATTTTTAAATAGTTTAAAAATTTTATAAAAAAATTTATTTTATAGAGATTTTATAAAAAGTAAACATTATCTTATGTTTCGTTACAATAGTAAAAAAGTTATTATTAGTTAGTTATTTTTAAATTTTTAACATAATTACAAATTTCTTTGATTTTGTTTTATAAAAATAATTTATTATTATTTTTAAATTTTATAATATCTTCATTTATCCCGCTTCTTTAAAACACTTTCTTTCATTTATTGTATTAAATTATTTTTAAAAGCTACTCAAATAGTTTCTTAAAATAATCAGAAATTTTCTTTTTCATAATTCTGATTATTTTCAAAATTTAAACAAAAACATTTTTCATGAAATAAACTAAAACAAATGGATCCTCAATCAAACTATAAATGATAATTTGATTCTTCAAAATACCATAATTTCCCTAAAATTTTAAAGGACTTTTCTGTTATTAATGAATTTATATAAATTATCAAATTGTCCTTATTGAAAATAAATGATTCACAACTTTCCTTCTTATATTCGCAACTTTTCTTTTTAAATTTACAACAATATATCAATAAATCACAATTTCGCATGTCAAATTTTTTATTTACTATTGTATTATTGTGAATATAAAAAAAATTGCGAATATAAGAAGAAAAGTTGTAAATTATTTATTTTTAACCAAGACAATTTGAAAATTTACATAAATTCATTAATGATAAAAAAGTCTGTAGAAACTTTAAAAAAATTATAAAATTTTGAGAGATTAAATTATTATTTATATATTTTAAAAAAATTTTATTGTCATTGTCTCAAAATAAAATTATCTCTCGTTTATTTAATTTTTTTTTTAACTTCCCTCTCTGTCACCACCCTCCAGATCGACCGCTGGATCTTTGGGACCAGCTAGTGGATCGATGAAGGTGCCAAATTAATTTCTTTTTAATGTGGTGGAGGGTTTGAACTTTGAACTCAACCACTTGGCCCCCAAAAGATTAGGCTAGCAATTTATCTTAATCATATATCATCTAAGCTCTGGCATCCAATGATAATGGGAGAATTTTTTAAAATATAAATCAGAGTTACCTTTGTCTTTTCAAGAGTGACCTTTGTCTTTTCAACTAATTTAATTATATTTTATTTTCTTACTCTTGTAGAATGCTTTTAAAATATTTTAATCTTTTTTATAAATAAGATGCTCGTGAGGTTTTTGATTATGATTTCCCCTAAGTAAAATTAAATTTGGCGACGAAGATACCAACCTACCCTGACAAGTATACTTCAAATTATTAATTTATTAAGGGATATTTGTCAATCCATAATTATTTCGTCCGTTTTGGGATTTTTCAACTTTTTAGTTTTTAAATTAAATAATGTAAGGTGGCATGTTTTTATTGGAAGTAGAAAAGCGACGTGAATTGACATTTGCAAAAGTCACGTGCGTGAACGTGTGAAAGAACATCTCCTCAAGTCGCTATCAAACACCGGCAAGGCGACGAATCTGATCAATGACAAATGACAAATTGACAGCGGTCATCACATCAGTATTTCATTATCTATACAGTGTATTCACAACACAATATTGCCACGTAGCCTTTCCTTCTCGGTGAACGCGGTACTACCAAGAGATATGCATGCCGACCTTTGCCTAGATTCTTGAGTTAATATATAATTTAAACATTAAATTATAAATTTTTAAGTGATTTCAATCACAAATTTTTTAAATGCGTATTTTAAATCTTAAACAAATAAAATTGAA